TTCTATCATTTTAACGTAAGATATCCAATTAGATGAATTAAAGTTAAACTTAATGGTAATAGATATTTAGAAAATTAAACTTATTTAATTAAATGACTTGTTTTAAACAATTTTGGTTGATTAGATAGAATAATAGACTATTTCAACTTGTAGTTGATAAATAAGGTAGTAAATGAAAGGTGTTACATTGAAATGGAGCTCAAATAAATAATTTCGCTATATTTCTACACCATAAAGCACTTCATTAAACTTCCTGAGTTGAAAGTTATGGGTTTTTTAAATCCATTTAGCTTAAGGACATTATACAAAGACAGAATTGTTTCATTCGGTGAATAGGATATCAATTCAAGTTGCTACATTCTATAGATGCTATTAATTGTATACAGAGGATAATAAATGAAAATCTGTTGTGCTCTAAATGAAATAATAACAGATGGATTCATAACTATTGTTTCCAGACCTCTAAATCTATTTGAATAAATCCAACAAGGAAGACTGAATTTATCCACATAACTTTAACATGTCTTGATAATTATAACATGGCATATCTATGTAAATAATGGATTAATATACTTCAATTAACTCAGATTCCTAATCCTTATCCATTGATTTGTACTGTACAAAACTTCTCGATTAGTACATTTGTCATATGTAAACAATCCTTTAACAACATTATTCATTATTATTTTAAACAGTCATATGATGCTGTTAGTGAATTCTCTAATATAAACGATTTATTTATTCAATGAAAGGTATCTTTCTAAACTTTTCGTAAGAAAACATCCATCTACACATATTAGAATCTATCTGGTGCTTATAATAGAAGATATATGTATATGCAACAGTTAAGATGTAGACAAGATGAAGTCAAATTGTTCATACGTATCAAGTCAGTTGCATAAAATTAACTAATAAAAGATCACAAAAACATATTTGTACAATGAATGTAGTAAACATAAAGGTCAATATGTATTTAAACATTAGAAAGCTGTCTTACATAACTTTTTTCACTGTTAAAATTTACTATGATGTAATTTAATCTGAATAATTATAATTAATTGTAATAGTTTACTCTTATGATATGAATGCAAATTTTGTTTACTATGCTTTTAATTGAAATCAGACAACGTTCGTGAATAAAAATGATGTCAATTTAAGCACTAAACAAGTTTCATTTGTTATTTTTCAAATAAATTATAATTTATGACCCTTACATAATCGACTAAAAATCTTGTAAAACACACGTTTCTATTTATGAGTAGTGTGATTAACTCTTAAATTAATATATTCACAAATAAAATGTCAAGATAAAATCATTCACTTATTGTTCTTCGACAACTACTACCGAATTTTTATGTTAAATGTGTGGATTGGTTGATGTTAGACATTAATACCGTTTCAATGGTCTAGAGATTAAGCGTTGACACGCGAAACCGAAGGTCCTGGGTTTGAGTCCCGTGTGCGGGATCGTAAATGCACACTGCTGAGGAGTCCCGTACTAGGACGAAACGGCCGATCAGTGGTTCTAGATTTTCAATGGTAGTCTAACATTGATCTATTCCTGATATCAATCTAAAATGTGTAAAAGTCACCAGACGAAATCTTGAACAGAATACACAACAAAATTGAATAATTTAGGTGAGTAAACATTCTGAAAATTGATTGATAAAATCTAATCCTGAAGCAAATGTAACGTGATATTGATCAATACGAAGCGATTATTTTAGACAAACCAAATTTCTATTCTTTCTACTATCATTAGCAAGTGTTTTATATTCAATAGGATGATGGGACTCGATAAATAAATTTCTTGGCCAAATTCATCAATATCACACGAAGTCACAAGTTTTTTATATTTTCTGGGTTGTCAGTCAGTTATAAGAAACGTAGAACATTCAAAACATATGCGTTGGTTCAATTCGGTAAACTAATATCAACACAATAATAGTATCAATAATAGCAAAAGGTAATCAGCATAAAGAATATGATTCGAGTAGAATAGATAAGTTTGTGAAATCAAGCAGTATGAATTAATTTTATTACTCAGGATTTAAAAAATATCAAAGAGAATATAGGTCTTCACCATTTTGATTGACTATATCTTGTCACCCAACATGTCCAGCAAATGTTTGTAACTACTGCGCCAACACTAAGCAGGCAATCTGTACCTAACAGCATTGCTTGAATTAATTTAACTCGTTCATGAACTGATGCTAGGTTTTGTTATGAGCAGAATTCTGTGCAAAATATTAACCCTTTCGTTAATATATGAGCATCATGACTACGCAACATGTGGATCGAATCTATGCAATGACTTAGACTAGACATGAAGCAAAATTTTGCATTTAGAGTGGGAGAAAAGTATCTTAAATGTACCTACACTGGATGGCCCTGGGTATGTCTCACTTAGTTCTATACATAATTGTCGATAACTAACTGTATGTTATTAAAATTAATTTATGGACTTTGTCCGAGTTGTCTTTCAACACTTTTTGTATTTTAAATGAAGTCATTAATATTGCATCATTAATTTGTTGTTTTACTTGATGGACGTTCTTAAAACTATTAGGTTGATTTTCCATGATTCTGTTTAATATCAGTACCATATTTCTGTTTTTGTTTTTTTGTTTTTAGGATTTTAAAATAAAAACGGATATATGTGGCACTACTACATACGTTTTGTATGTTCTTTTTATTTTAAATAAAAATCGACTGCTGAAATCATTAGAGTGTATAATTTGAGAAAGAAATAAGAAAAGACAATACGAAATATTATCAAAAGGGGTTTTGTGGAAATTTTAATAATTTTGCAGTTGAATTTATGAGTCAACTGAATCTAGATCATCATGGAAAACCTGGAAGCACTGGACGGTTGTTTCGTCCTAGTATGGGACTTCTCAGCAGTGCGCATCCATCGCTGGATGCCGGCTTAGTGGTCTAGAAGTTAAGCGTTCGCGCGCAAGACTCATAGGTCCTGGGTTCGAATACTAAATATATTTGAACTAAGTAAAATCCTCTACATATACATATTGTTTTCATAAATTTCCATTTTAAGTATTAAATATCATTACCAGACGACTGAGTATAATTAGTAAGATGCAATAGACAAAATCTTATGTTTGTTATTGCTATCTACATTAAAATTTAACTAAATTTAAACATTATCGAAGTTTTCACATTTACTATGACTGAAATGATCACATTCAATTGTATTGTTATTCTTCTGTTACAGTTCAAATACAAAACAACCATGTACTATTATTATCATTGATCCAGATCAACACAGTATGTAGTTTGTTTAAATAAGCCAATTTATTTAAGCATTCTCCAATAGTATCATCATAGAATCAAATAATGTAAATTAGTTTTATAATGTTAACAATTAATTATTCATATTTCAAAATTAACTGACTGATCTGTTATGCTTCAACTCGAAATTCCAAGTAAATTTTACAAATTTTCGAAAGTTTCATGATGAAATTTAACTAATCAAGGTGTATAACTATCATCTATCACTTACATAAAACATAAATATGAAAAAAATGTAACACAGCATATTTGTCAGATATTCACAATTGATTGATCACTGGGCAATGAAGTCTGTTTCAGTCTTAAATAAATTCTATCGATCAAATTACAGTTTGATAACTAATTTAAGTGACCCTAAGTAGTATTGATTATATTGAGACATTAGATGATTAGAGGTAATTGATAAGAAACCATGTTTGACTTATATTTCATGTTATTCGTTGCACGTTATGAAAGTCTACTTGTAATGTTAATGGAACTAGTTCTACTTGAGTGATTTAACCGCACTTCAAGCTTCCTTACCATTTGAGGCATTACCATGGAGTTAATTGATTGATATTTTAATTATCACCACTGTTCGTTCAGTTTTTTCCATTATTTACCCGACATAATGGTTTTTTTTAATAGACAGATAATATTACAAATGAAGTTAGCTAACGAGGTAATAAACACTACGAGACATTGTCAAAACTAAAACATCGTATTGTTGATATTGTCACTCTGAACTATGAATTTCGGTTAAATTTTCAATTATGACATTAATATAATCTATGTTATATATTTTGGTCGCAAATTATTAGTTGCTGTGGTCACTTCCTTTTAATATATTATGGTACGATTGCTGCACAGATTCCACTGGATCCTAACTCTAGCAGTCTAGAGTTTGAGTGTTCAAGAGAGAAATAGAAGCCCATGGATTTAATTACATGTGATATTGTCGTGGATGTGCATTTGCTAGGTTCAAATGGCTGTCAAATGCCTTTTGGTTACCAATGGATATTTAACTTAGGTCGGTTCATAATATTAACAATATTCAATAATCACTGCGAACCTCTTTATTAATATATTTTTTTCATAGTTTAAATCAGTAATTGATCCAAGTTAAACTATCATTGAAGATCGGAAAGCACTCAACAGCCTCTTCATTTTAGTATGGGATTCTTTAACAGTGCGTATGTAAGATACTACATCCCGTAATCGAATTGAGGACCTTCAGTCTCGCGCACTTAAACTGAACTTTCAGACCACTAAGCATTCATCCAACAGTACTACTCTCTAACTTCAAAGAATTTACTATATTACACAACCCTCAACCATCGCTTCCGTTTGATAGCTATCTCAAACTCGAGATATAGTTGACGTGTACACTGCTGAGGAGTCCTATACTAGAACGAATCAGTTATTCAATATTTCTAGATGTTCAATGGTGAATTAACTAAGAACAGTTCATAATTTAAACCAAGAAAATTTTACATTCTTCAAAAATCATCCTATACTAATGAGTCATCTTTTATTGATATACTTGTCAATGATTAATATTATTCATACTGTTTTTGTCCTTATCATTCTCATATCATTTTAATTGGGTGCAATCCAATAACAATGACCTTGTTTTTTATTGGTTACTTCATTCAACTGTGTAAAATGTCTTGCATGAGTTCTTTTTTTTTCACTTTTAAAATTGTTCATTAATTGAAATAGATTGATACACAAAAAAATATAAAAAAGATTAATTTACGCTTATTATTATTAGATAAATAATTGAATTTGTTCTTTTGTTCTTTATGGATCAATCGAATGAGAAAACTATTAATTCATCAAATATAACTACTACATTTCAATCCACTTCATCATCATCTTCATTACTAAGAACAATCTATGCACATCGTATAGAAAATTATTCACCAATAACATTTACATATATTAAAGAATATTGTAATAATGAAATTATAACATCTATTTATACAATATGGAATTTTTTACCAAAAATTCTCTATGAACAATTACATTATATCTCAAATATATTTTTTATATTAGTTGCTATTATACATTTATTTGCTGATGGTGCTACATCAATATTTGCTATTATTGGTCCATTTTCATTTGTATTATTAGTTACTATAATTAAAGATGTAATCTATGATATATTAAGACATCAACAAGATAAACAAATTAATGAAAAATTATTTCCATTAATGAAAATTAATATAAAAACAAATGAAATTAAATGGATATTAAAAAAATCAAAAAATTTACATGTTGGTGATGTAATATTATGTAAAAATAATGAAGAATTTCCATGTGATTTAATTATCTTAGCAACAAGTAATCATAATTGTAAATGTTATATAACTACATCAAATTTAGATGGTGAAAATACAATTAAAACAAATTATTGTTTATTAGATACACAAAATGTCTATAAAGATTATATAAATGATTCAATTAATTATACATTAAATAATGATATATTGAAATCATTATATATCAAAATTAATTGTCAACAACCAAATGAAGATTTTAATAATTTTGAAGGTTGTATTACAACAAATTTAAATGAACAAAAAAAACAATCATTAACATTACGTAATATATTATATAAAGGTGCCAAATTAAAAAATACAAAATCTATTATTGGTTTAGTGATATATACTGGTAATGATACAAAATTATTATTAAATTCTAAAAAAGTCAAACGTAAATATAGTTCACGTGAAAGTAAAGCTAATCAAATTTTATTTATATTTATTATTATTATGATTGTATTTTGTATATTATTTTCTATGGTAACAAAAAACTGGTCAATCAATAATTTAATTAATCCATTTATACCATTTGAACATTTTAAAAATTGGATACAAATTAAAGGGGTATTTCGATTTTTATTTATATTAAATTATATAATACCAATATCATTAATTATAACAACAGAAATACAACAAATTACATCAGCATATTTTATATCAGCTGATATGAATTTATATGATATAGAACAAGATCAATCAACTAAATCAAATACACCACAATTAGTTGATGAATTAGGGCAAGTAAATTATTTATTTAGTGATAAAACTGGTACATTAACTAAAAATGAAATGAATTTACATACATTAGCTGTATTAAATACAGATAAAGTATATGTCTTTAATGATAGTACACTTCAAAATATCAATGATAATACTAAGAATAGAAAAAAGGAGAATACACAGAAATCAATTCGATTAAAAAAAATTTCACAAAAAATAAATAAATTTGGTTATATTGGTGTTGTTTATGAAGAATCAAATGAATTTCAATCTGAATATTATAATGATAATTATGGATTTATATCATCATCTGATTCTGAACTAGATGAAGAAGATCACAATGAAATAGTACCACAGTATATATTGAATAAAGTAAATAAATCTAAAGAAAATATTACATTAGCAAATGAATATCTTAATTATACATCTAATAACAATAATAATAATAATAAATTACCCAATGAATTATTACATTGTCTTACAACATTAGCATTATGTCACACCGTAGAAGTTAATGAAGAGGATTTAATAAAACAAAATAGAACAGACGAAAATATATGTCTGGAAAACTTTTATCAGGTAAACGGTTGTTATTATTATTGTTGTTTAAATTCGAAATTTATTTTTAATGGTTTTGTTTATTTAAAAGGTAAAGATTATTGTAAATGAATGTGATAGATAGTAAGTCGAACATTTGTTTTAGCGCAGTGTAAGAACTTTTTATCAGAAATAACCACTACTATATAAGTTATCTTTAAGATCCTTCATAAGTAGAATACCATTCAAACATTTTATTGGTATTATAAGAATGTCTGTTAAAATAATACTAAAGAATTCAACTACGTGAACAATGTTACTGTAATTTACTAATTACACCAATAAACTGTACGTCTGCTTTATTGAATACCACGATTATCAATATAAATCTTAGTGGTTTTGACGTTTAGCCAATGTGCACTTCTGAATGAGTAATGGTGAAAATTTCTGAACAAAAAATGAGATATCTGTTGATAAATATCAGTGGTTGTCCATCTAATGTCAATTTATGAGGTGATTCACCTTGCCAGAATGAACATCATTTCTAAGATACAGGTACATCCAGCTGATGATTTCCAAATAGGACAAAATGTGTATATAACTGAGTTATATTTTTATGATGAACCGATATTTGTTATTCTGGATCATCTCTATTAATTCATAGTCTTATTTAACACGAATGTAGCAACAAATTCTAACATTTTTATACTGAAATTAATATGGTTTTTATACGTTCAATGATAAAACTGTTGGATGGTTATCTTATATTCTTTTTTCAGTAAATTAAACCACTTTTCAAAAACAATGATTTTTAAAAATATCGAAAAATGATATACTGAACTTTAATTTTTATACTTCTGATGTTCCACTGGATTGAAGCAATAGTCAGGTAATTAAATGTTAGGGTGAGATAGAAACTAAAAAGGGAAGCTGTTTAACAATCAGATTAATGTTAAGCTTCTGTAGTTTACACCTGTTATATCATCTTGTTTATGTTATTGTAATATTTCATAAGTAATTAATTGTTTCACGTCTTATTGTTTAGTTTGGTTTATTACAACTAACTAATTAAATACAAGATTATGCAAGTGAGCTTTAAATAGTACTATTTATCTGATGACCAATTATACTAGATATAGTTCTTTAAAAGGAAGTACGTGGACTCTAGTTCAAGTATGCCGCCCAGTGGTTGAGAGTCAAGTGCTTTAACTAGGCTCTACATTTGGGCTCCAATGGCAAAGTAAATTTAGAAATTAGTATTTTCTTTTGGTGATCAGTTACAGGTTCTGTATCAATAGGATGAAACTATATTGCATTTTGCGTAAAATGATTATTTAGATAGATTGTAAAATTCACTGTCCAGGATTTCTACATTTTACCCACTAGAATTTACATTTGTTGCCCGTGATCATTCAAAAATCCGGTTTATTTATAGTCTTGTCAAACTAGATGTATATGAAGAATTATTAAATTCAAAGAGGTTAACTAAATAGTTAATAGAATAACAATGTTTTTCAACAAACTGAAATAAATATTTCTTATTCTTACTTACTTACTTACTTACTTACGCCTGTTACTCCCAGTGAGGCATAGGCATTCTCCAACCCACTCTCTCCTGGGCTTAAATGGTTTATCTGGTTGTCAGAAGGAGAATCAGCCTCATGACTTCCGAAGGAAATCGGTTTTCACTTTGAGGCATCATGACTCTTTTAAATGAAGACCTAACTCCCAGTTCAGAGTTTAAATGGTTTGAATTATTTTTTCTGGCTAGCGTTTTTTAACGAGTTAGTTTTCTACAGGATGCGGTCAATAATCCCATACCCAACCTTCTTCCTCTATCCGGGATTGGGACTTGCAGTAGCACCAGAGGGGTTCCAGGCTGATTTACTGTACCTCATAAATTATTATCAAACTCTGTTTACTTAACATTTACCTCTCAATTAATAAGTTCCATAAAATAAATCAAAGATAATTATCATGTAATGTCTAAATGATATATTTAAAGCTCAAAATTATTTCCTAGAAGTATATTAAGTCGTTTTTATTTACATCTGTTGAAATGGTATTTCACCTTTATTGAATTTCACTGATGGATATTTTACTTAAAATTAAGAGTTCTAAATGAGAATCATATACATGTTTACTATTTCATCTTGTATATAAGAGAGTTAAAGTTAATTTTTTATCCATTTGAAGATTTATAAAGATGATAATATTTTCATAAGTCAATTCATGGTTTCAACTATGAAAATATTGATTTGGTAAATAGACGATACTATTTATAGATTATCCGTTTTTATATAAAAGAAAATTATCTATTTACTTGGATCAACATTTAAAGTAGTATAACAACTAAGAGTAAAGTTGTAAATGTTAACCGATAGATTGATTGGTTTAAAAAATTCACTATCTTCATGAGATAATATAATAATGAGTTTGTTGTTATGTAGGATGATGATAGTATACTTGTTAGGATTTCCTTTAGTTATCAAGTTTTCAATGGTTCAATTCATGATGAATAAAGTAACTTGAAATAATAGTGTTACGTAATTAACAAAAATTAATGATGTGATAAGTTCTTTTTACAATGGAATGAAGCCAAGGTAGATTAAAGCACTGAATACAAGTTAAATGAGATGAATTGGAAATTCTAATTCATGTATCTATTTGGTCAATTTTATAATAAACTTAATTCATTGATAATACTTTGATGGTTAAAAGTTCTCAAAATTTAAATATAGTAAATAAACAATGAAAACTAAGAATTCTTCTCTAGTCATGTGGATGTGATTGTTTTCTTTCCTTATTTGCTATTATTATTAATTATTATTATTATAATAAGTTATATTTCTTGATTTCATTCATTCTTTTTAACTTATTTTCCTCATTGTTAATTATGATCGCTATCACTAATTTCACATTTGTTTCTGTTTCTTTGACTCTACATAACACGTTATTATTATTTTATTTTATTTGAACACATAAATATTGATAAAAAGAGGCACCGAATACATATCAACCACACAAGTCACTTGATTTGTGTGTGGGTCGTGATACTACTCGGGTGCCCAGATCGAATCACGTGGTTTTCTTAGGAGGCCACACCCAGAGTCTTCGACCTAAAGGTCTAATCCACAAGGCAGTGGATCAACGGCCAATGATAGCCTGTGACCAATAATTGGTTCATGCGCTATTTTTTCCCTCAGGTTCCTGGAGCCCATATGCATAATTGATGGAGAAGATTCGTAGCTCAGGTGGATGATTTCGATGAATGGTTTGGTCGTCGAGCTTTCATCGTTCTCCTAAACGACATCATCAGCACAAACGTCTACGCTAGATTCGGTTTCCTAAGCTCTTCTATTAACACCCAGGTTAAGCCTATACAGCAACCTGAACACGAAAGAAAAGACGTGAAATAAGAAAGAAACGATTTATTTCAAGGTTTGTTTATGTACAGAAAATCTAGGGTACTTATAACATTTTAGATGGCTTAGAGATTCCAGGAATTACTGGAACGCTACTAAACTTATTAGCAACATAGGTAATCATCCAATTAGAAACACGATATGTGACTGTTCCCTTCTTTGATGATTGTTCCAAAACCTCTATCAAATGCTTTCTCAGCATTTTCAGAGCCTCTTTTGACCTTTTTCGAGGAATTTTCTGGTTCTCCTCAATAGGAAATAACATGTATTATTATTGTTTCATCCTGTTGGTGTCTAGTATTGATGTAAACTATAATAACTTGGTTATTTGTTCTCTGAAGAAGTGACTTAAACTAAGTCACGAAACGTCAGAAAATCCAATTTTCTACTCATTGGGATATTACAAATATATTATTTTTATTTATAACAATCAACCCAATGCTCAATTTATTCGAAATTATCAAATCAAACCTTGGTAATGACACCTATAATAACTTGAGTCAATACCTTGTCTCAAATCCTACTCTCTCTATGGCTGATTATTCTACTGAGTCTTCAAGTTTTTTTGCTTTCTTTTTCAAGAAATTATGAGTAATAGTGCTTTCTTCATTGATCGAATTGCAAATGTCCCAGATCAATAACATCTAAATATTATTCTTTCTTGGTTAAAAAGTATGTTTACATGTTGAAAAGTAATTCATGCAACATTTTTGTAGTTTAGAAATGTATAATTTTACATGATGTTGAATTTAGATTAATAAACGGTGAAAACAAAACACATGACTTTATAGAAACGAAAATATTTCTGTTTTTTACATTGTGTTCTAGGTAGAAAGGTGGATTAGGTAGAGTCAATCAGTGAAGTTTTAACAACCTAATTATTAAAAAAAATCATTTAAAGCATTTTATCTTAAAAAAATAACATAAATAGGCGAGACCTTTGAGCGACACTAAAGAGACCTTGAGAATATCTACCTATATACTACGTCTAAATGAGGGTAATAAACCAGTGTGAGGAAATAGAATTAATATTTTCAGTTGATAGTTAGGGTTATGAATCAGATATATGGTTTTTCATCACAAACTAACATCAGCTATAATGCTAAAACTCTATTTAACCAAATGAATGGATCGATTTCGTGCCAAAATTCAAGATCAGAGTTCATTTTCATTCTGTAACCTTATTGGTAATAGCCGGCTCTTATATGTACAGCTACATCAGTGGATAGTATCAATTGCTTTCTATTTTAAATATTTGTTGACATTTTTTTTACGAAGAAGCCAGTTCATTTTATAAAGGGCAAGTCATAAGTGACATTTAAATAAAATGGCGATCTTTTAACTTAAACCTTAACATTTTTATTGCTCAAAATATCTTTGAAACCTGTTGAATAATTTATTCACATAGCTTGAAGCAAGTAATTAGGGATTCAAAAGCCTCTTATATCCTAGAATCTTTTGTGACTCATGTTAGTACCTTACACATGGTTAATCCATTCCAGTATCATTTATGGCTTACTTTATTATCCCTGAGAATAATTTTGCTCTAAATAAAGACTGAATGAAAAATAGATTTCGCACATTAGTGAAGTCCTACCATGGTAAAAGTTATCGTTGATTAAAGTCGTAATCATGGAAAATTCGATTTCGACTTAGTAAACTAAATTTTGTCATGTCCATCAACAGACCGACAAACTGTGTATTTATCAAGGATAAAGTTGTTGGCCTGTATGTGTATGCGTGTACACTGTTTAAACAAAACAAATGATCAGTGCTTCCTTTTTATCTTCATCCATTCTGCATCTGTCTAATATCGATTCATGATAGAAAATCATTTTTAAAATATACTTTCTTTGAATAAAACAAAACAAAATGCAATCGTTAATGTTACTTACTAAACATGTAATGTGTTAAACATTTCATTCTTGAAATATCTATCTATTAATCTTCATCAATTATAACAGTATCATACAGCTTTGATATGTTATTTGTATTTTTTTCATCAATCAATGTTGATGTATGCCAAGGTTATTAAACTGATTTTATTTTTTCTTGACCAACTTAAGTGGTATTTATAAATAGAGATACATAGACTAAACTACTAGTCTTCTTCTCTTTTTTTTTCTCTTCTCAACAGAAAACCCTAATAAATTTATACAAGTTTGAGTTTTTAAGGTCACTTTACCAAAGTAATGATGTGATCAATTGTACTTTCTATTGTGTTTTATTCTACAAGAAAATGATCAATATATTTGTATGTTATAATGTATGTAAATTTGATACCTAATAAAGAATATTACGTAAGAAATTCATCATAACATTCGTTGCTATTGTAAATGTTTCTAAAGAGAACTAATTGATTAGAGAGTTTAATTTTGGCGGCATTTTAAAATCATTATTTTTAAATAAACAAAAAGATTAAATTTCATTCATTTACTTTCTTTTTGATACGTTTTAAATAGAATAAGATTAATAATGTATTATGGAAGAAGTTGAAATCATTTGTTTATTTCAATGGATCTAATCAGAATTAAAAAGGCGAAATTTACAAAGGAAAATAATGATTATAATTGTTATATTAATAAATTATGACTGATGACATTTTAATGTAGAGTTTATTGGATTTCATTGAAATTATTGACCAATCTGAGTTAGAACACTGTCAAAAATGTAGAAGCATTGGATTGTCGTTTCGTTCTAGTTTGAGACTTTTTAACAATTCGCACTTGCGTTAACGCTCTCGAGACTCGAGCCCAGCACTTTCGGTTTCTTGAACGAACGCTTAACCTTTAGAATATTGAGCTGGCACTTTAGCTTTATAATAAGTAGCCTGATCAAAATAAGGCTAATTCAATGGATATAAGCTAGAAGTACTGTAGAAATATGAAGTTATATGGTAATGGAGATTATTTCACAGAACTTATTGTTACCGGGAAGGAGGTAAGTCATCAACGTTTTCTCCTGTCGACATACGTAAGGTGTGAAACGCAAAGTAGTATTGGTTCCTGTAGCACAAAGTAGAATTGTTATTCATACTTTGCTTATTGTTACTAGAGTTTTAGAAATATTTTCTTCATCTACGCGATCTGTGATGTTCCTAATCATTTTACTTTTAAACAATTTGCTTTCCTATAAAAGCAGGTTTTGTGTAACTTAATCAAAAAGCCTTGTATATGCTTTTTAAGTCTTGACTATAAACCTAACCTCAGAAGTAACTTACTGTTATCTCTAATGTTGAGTTACGGTATAAATGTTCAGATGAAATATTATGTTATTATCATACTACGCATTCACTTTTGCCATCTAGGTATCATGAAAAAAAATTTAATTCTTTGAAAAAATCTTATGATTTAAGACTTTGATTATTAAGCTTTTTAACACCACGTAAATTTACTATTCTGAATTTGCTTGTTATCCCCATATATCGCAGTCATCAAGCAACTGAAGTATTTAAAAGTAGTAGCTTATATATTTAGTTTGTTATAAATTGATAAGAAGAGATATTATATTATTCTGGTATTTTGTTTCACTAAAACTCTCATAGTTGCGCTACACACATTGCCTATTGTCTTTCATTTGACTGTAAAATCTTTGCATTAAGTTAAACTGGAAAGAATACAGTTGCTTGATTATTAGTAGTGAAATTAAAAGCATTCTAATCAAACAATGAATTACTGATGAACAAAAATTTGCATTTGCTTGAGTTCGGTCATATGCTCTTTTAATGAGTAAATTCAGATGTGTCACCTCTGAATCTCTAAAGCTCTACTACCGACGACCAAAAATTCGTAGGCCATGGTGAATCGTTCTGTTCTTAAGGTCTGCATTTTCTAATCTCTTATTCATTCGTGGAATGACAGTAAAGCTGCAGATGGCGATTGTTCAAATTATTTAGGTTACTGCTGTTGTGTTCAAATAAAACACTATATCTGATGAAAAATCTTAGAGCCTGCTGGTGTATGAAGTTCAGAACAGAGTATTGAGATAAAGTTCGGAATTGTTTCCTACGATATTGGTGAACATTTTATACCATTAGGACTTCCAGTTTGTTTAAGGACACATATTTATAGAATTATTCAACTACTGTTACGACGAATGGTTATACAAATCAATTCGCAGTATAATTGAATTATCATTTGTCTTAGATTAATTTACATCCAGAAATTATCCATGTCAAATGTTTACTATTTTGTTAGTTGATTTTTGGATGGTAATTCAATTCCAAAATCATACAAGGTTAACAGTAATAATTGTCTTATACCCGAGAGAGTTGAATTTCATCTGTTCTGACTTATAATGTATAACCAGGAAAGCTTATTTCAATGCTATTCGTTAGTGAGTACACAAGTATTATTAAAATGATTGCTACGATTCGATATAACCTAAAGTTCTAATCTAGAGAGCAACAGTTTTGCAATGATTCAAATGATTCCAAAGAAACACCAAAATCTAATCTATTCATGATTTATTGAGCTTAATTTTTCTTTAAATTTCAACTCAGTAAAGTTGAATGTTTGATTTTGGCAACCGTAATTTTAAACCAGTTTGCTAATTGTTTCATATATAGGTGTTACATTAATCTATTAACAACTGTTTCAGTGAAACTTTCATTCGGAACTAAGTAAATGAAAGCCATGAAATAACTTAGTCATAATTTGTGTTAAACGATTAAGGATAACTCTAGGAATTTATGAATCAAAGTTTTCTAACCTTTGTCTGTGATTAGTAAATTACATCTTAAACCTTTGATACGTAATTATTTTATTGTAGATTTCCACCTATTTCGTTTATTATTGAAATATACAATGTCACTTTTGATTTTTTTCTGAACATTGAAAACATTATTTATTTTCCTCCTCAAAAAAGAAACCAGTTTTAAAAAACCGTTGGGATCCTGATATAGTTGGCAAATGAATTCCTAATACATTTGTATTAGTTGTTTGAATCTTCCAAATGATGTTTAGGATTGTAATTGACCAGCCTTTTTTTCGGCATATGTGCATCTTGTGAGGACTGCCTCGACATTGTTCTTGTAAGATTTGTCTGTTGAAGTATTCGAGACAAAGGCGGGAATATAAACTGTAATATCCAGATATTGAGAGATACGTTAAGAGTACTAGCGTTTAATTCAATACACATCCGAATAATTTCACACTGAAATGTTGTTTAATACACCATGTTAAAGTCTTTATTATACGAAGTAGTTTTAACATTGCAAAACGTTGATATTGAATTATTTCTTTATTCCTATGTTCAGCTCAACCCCCGAACTATAACATTCACTCCTTGGAATATTACTGATTAGAAGATTTTACTCCGTGTTTATCTGCTAACATTCATCTGATTACGACAAAGAAAACAACACGAAACAAATAAGAGAGAGAATTTTGATCACTTCATAGTGTTTTTCTACATTACTTAAGGAGAATGACTTTGAGAAAAGACAAACTACCTAAAACTGACCAAACGTTTATGGATTAGTTTGACTAGATAACTCACCTCTTGTAATATATATATATATATATATACTATTATTCTTGTCTGTTGGATTGATTTGAACCAATTTCTATCATTCTGATTAAACGACTTAACAGTTGACAAATAGATTATGGAAATTTATTTTAGGTGTTTCATTCATTTCATTGTTTCAAGTGTTTACATATTGTTACTTATTTTTCATGCAAAACATTTATAGGCAACATCACCAGATGAAAAAGCACTTGTTATAGGTGCAGCAAAACTTGGCATTCTATTTATGGGTACATCACTCAATGAGAATAATTCACATTCCAGAATATATCGTCTAGAATATGATCAGTGTTTACAAAATGGTTCTGGTCAATCAGAAATTATGGAATATTCCATTGATGCTATTCTAGAATTTGACTCATTTCGAAAACGTATGAGTATTATGGCTAAACATCCTGATGGAACGTATCATATTCATAGTAAAGGTGCTGAATCAAGTATTTTTGAGGTAAGATAGTTCAACTGATTTATTTTTACTTCAAGTATTATCAATTTTCATCTCAATTCTTTTAAGAAACGTGGTATTTTATTTTTTACAAATCGAACTGTTGCCTATCCATAGTGTACGACTAGAGTCTAATTCAATGTTACATTGATTTTTAACAGTAATTGAGGGCTAACATTTTAAACATTGATTGGTAATGACATATGTTTATTCTTCTTTGTAACTAATCAGCTGGTGTACTCTCTGTATGAATGTTCTCACTAGAACTCTACATCAAAGAAGTGATCAACTTTTGAATTCATTCATTAAGAAATCCAATCAATAATTCAATATGCCAACAGCAACTCATCATATAAGCCCTAAATAAGAGTAGCCAGAAGGAACCAAAATAGTGACAGCTCTGTAGTTGATAGGAATCTGATGTTTAAAAGTCTAGACTATAGTTATTATTTGAATGTGACAAACAAAATGTTATTGCTGATTAAACAAGATACTGATGGCTGTGAAAGTAAGTTTTCATCTGCATAAATTTGCAGAAAATGATGTTTATTACTTAATTTGTCACAAAAATAATTCATCTAGTTACTATTTATGAAGATTAACTCAACTGCTTATTCCTTAGTTCTAACATTCATTATAATAATAACACAATATTAGCCATTTGTGATTGAAATCATGAGTCAGTTGAAGCTAGACCACCATGGAAAACCTGGAAGCACTGGATGGCCGTTTCGTCCTAGTGGGGGACTCATGATTTCAATCAAAAACTTAACAATCTCCACAACCCCTAAACTGATAATTAGTCATTTTTGTTTATTCTAATTCATATTAGATCGGTTTATTATTATTCCGGATTAATTCATTTAAATAAAGTAACATCATTTTAAAACTAGTTTTATTGCAATCAAAATATAATCACTCATTGGTCTAATTCTAGTTTCATTTCAAAATCATTCCAGTTCCAATTTAGGTCTCATCTATTATTATTATTACAATTATATTTTATGCAACATTCGTATCCATTTAAACATTTAAACAGATATTTAATAATCTTACAGTTCATATTCTCCTTTGTAGCACCCACCTCTGCATCAGTAGGCATCAGTATACACAAAGGAAAAAGTAAGATCCTCAAATATAATACGGAGAACACCAACCCAATCATACTTGATGAAGAAACTCTGGAGGATGTGGTATCTTTCACGTACCTGGGAAGCATCATCGATGAACAAGGAGGATCGGACGCAGAAGTAAAAGTGAGGATTAACGAAGCAAGGGCTGCACTCCTACATTTGAAAAAAACATATGGAATTCGAAACAAGTGTCAACCAATATCAAAGTGAGAATCTTCAATACAAACGTCAAAACAGTCCTACTGTAAGGAGCTGAAACTTGGAGAACTACAACAACCGTAATCAAAAAGGTACAAGTATTTATAAATAGTTGTCTATACAAGATACTCAATATCCGTTGGTCGGATACCATCAGTCACAGTCTTCTATGGGAGAAGACAAACCAGCTTCCAGCTGAAGAGGAAATTAGGTTAAAACGCTCGAAGTAGATAGGACATATATTGAGGAAATTACCAAATTGCATCATGAGTCAAGCTCTAATGTGAAATCCTAAAGGAGAGCGGAAAAGAGAAAGGCCGAAGAACACACTACGTCGGGAAATGGATATAGATATGAAAAGGATGAATAGCAACAGAAAATAATTGGAAAGGATTGCCCAGGACAGGGTTGGATGGAGAGTGCTTATGGGCAGCTTATGCTCCTCCTCGAGGGGCAACAGGAGTTACTGAACTACTTACTACTACCACCTATATCCTCCTTGAACTTATTCGTTATCTCCAACTTATGCTAAGAATATAAATATTACAATACTATAATTATTTTAATTTCGATAAATATTAAATAAACAAAATACATTGTAACATTTTGTTAAGTTTGCTTATTTCTTTTTTTGTTTGTTGGAAAAATTAACCAGTATCTATAACACAACAATATAAAGAAATAGATCATGAGGTTAACTCTACCTCGAGACTTCAATAAACTAACACATTCCATACCTTGAAATGAATTAAAAACAATTCAATGTACTATTCATACATACATATATATATATATATAATGAATAATAATAAAGAATTACAATACCTTGTCAACTATACTTTATTTTGTAAAGAATATTAGGTTGTAACATATTATTGAAGAAAATATTTAGTTGGATACGATATTAATATTAGTTAAAAGCTTTTTCTAATCAACTCTTGATATTCTAGCTTTATGTTTAAAGTTTTATGATTATATGTAAGCTAAAAACTATCAGTTAAGTGTTTTCGATTGTATTCAGATGTTTCTTATGTTTATCAGAATAATTCATATTTAAAATAGAAGAATTTTTAAACTTAATAAAAATCATATTTGTACTACGTTAATACTAAGTGACTTGTAAAGTATTCAATTTATTTCTATAATAGTTATGAGGTTGAACAAGAATAATGTGAGGTGAGTGACTCTTTTAATTTACATTATTCACTTATCGGAATGATTAAATCTATAAAAAAAAGCTAAATGACTGTCCGTTATTTAAGCAATGTAGTTAATTTTTAAAAAAACATACCAATTTGTCAGGAAAAGATTAAATGTAGTTCGCTGTGGAACCCAGGATGAATGTTTCTTTGTCAGACATAAGTATCTAGATCCCAATATGAGTAAATATTTCACAAACTCTGTTCTACTCATTTGGTGATATCATTTTATGACGCTATTCAAATAAGTTAAAAGCATTTCAAGCACTAGTACTGTTGTGTTCATTAAAATAAAAAGATCAAAAGAATAGCTTCATATAAAAGAAAGCTTTTGATATATCTAGTCACGTTAATAAATTTGATAGAAGTAACTGAAAATAAGATTTGTAAATCATAATGAATTCATTCGACTTCAAGGTATATATTTTCAGTTTTTTAATGGTTAAAAACAAAAGTTCAGTTTATAATAATTGATATTAAGTTGTGATGAAAGTACATTTAAATAAATATGAACCATCTAAGTTGAACTTTTAATAGTTGAATTTATGAGTCAATCTAAGTCAGATCACCGTTGAAAACGTAGAAGCACTGAATGGCCATTTCTTTCTAGTATATAACTCCTTGGTTGATGTTAGACATTAACACCATTGTATGTCGGCTCAGTGGTTTCACCCGATATCGGAGGTCCTGGATTCGAGTCCCTTTAGTGCGGTCTCGTGGGTGCACACTGCTGAGGATTTTCGTGCTGGGACGAAAAGATCGTCCAGTGCTTCCAGGTTTTACATGATGGTCTAGCTTCAATCGGCTCATGAATTCAACCATTAAAATACTTTATTATTAAATTGACTACGTAGATAATTATATGAGACAGAAATTTCATGTTATCTCTGGAATAACTTCAATAGTAGGGAAAAATTGTAATACTTTATCTAATTAAGAAAGACGACAATTAACAATATGAAAAGAAGGATATTTTGTTTGAATATTTACATTGTTAAGTTGAAAACAATTGTATATAGCGTTTTTTCATTACAAGTTTTCAAAAATTTAGGATCATTTTAACAGAAGAATAAATTTTAATAATCCTAATGCTAAATGATGAGTTTAGCATTCATTATGATTTAAACATATACTTATCAAGATATATATTCACATCAGTGATAATATAAGTATATTTGCAAGTGTGCGCTTGTGCCTGAAAGAGAAATAAAGAAAGAGAATATATTTTAATTCCGATATCGATCTGCTGAAACGAACCGATCTTTTCCTTTGGGGATACAAGCTGTTTGTACAGAATCATTTTTATATCATTTATTACCTTGTTTTTTAATACATTTGTTGAAAACCAGTAACTTATTGAATATGATTATTCTTGGTGATCCCAGCCGATTCGTAGCCTACTGATAATGGGCGGTTATATTCGAATAGTCGTCTAATATGTTGGGACCTCTAGTTAAAAAGATTCGTCTGTGGTTATTACAAGAGGATTGTCATCTCTTCTTATGATTTAGGATAATCCGTGATCGATGTCAGTCAAATTCCACTACGTTTATTTTTTAAACGCTAACCAATATATCCGTTAACCTAACCACGAATGCTGATCAATGTCCTTAATAATCTTCTCAATAAGTCCATCAGGTCCCATTTATCTCATTTTCCGCATATTAGCTATGAACCTTTCAACCTAATTAAGATTTAAGTGGACTGTGTTAGTCTTCCATGCACATTGTTTTAGAATAGTGGGTAACTGGAATGTAGATAGGTAACAGTTGAAGTTTTCCGTATAGTGTTCTTTCCATCGATCTTATATCTTAAAATAAGGGTAAATTATGGTTCCGTCTCTTCCTGGCATATTTTTCTAAATGGCTGACGTTTTGCTACCTGTCTCCTCGATGAGTCGGAGCAGTTGTCTACTGTTGTTTACCTTCTCTGTCATTTTTATTTCTCTTGACTTTATTGCCCAAAACCGCTCACAATCATTGCATAAATATTTTATTGGTTTACATTTGAATTTCCGTCGCTCTTCATCGTCCTTTGAGCTTATCGAGATGAGTTTTCGCGCAACTATCAATTCGGTAGAATTGTTCGAAATCCATTTATCCTTCGTAACCTTACTCTTAGAGCTTAGATATCGTCGCTGCATTCTCAGCTGTATCGGCATCACGCAAGCTTCAATAAAATTGCATAAATATGTATACATTCAATAGTTCGTAGTTTCAAAAAGGAATAAAAGTATTAAGCTCTCATCATTAGTACAATATCAAGCAGTAAAGGAGTTCAACACGGAAATGCAAAGTAATCGACAATAAGTCTCAAATACTGTTTGTATAATAACGTTTAATAAAGAAGGCAAAAATGGCTGAAATATCATGGACTGAAAAAAATGTTTTCAATACTTCACAATATTAGCAGCCCATGAAATAAAGATGTTTCATACCAAATCAGAATTATCTAAAACAAAGCAGTACAGCTAGTGAAAAGATTATATGATGAATTTCATTTTCTCTGGTACTGTTCATGAACAACTTTAATTTATCCCATATTTATCATTCATTCAGTCACAACGTAGAACCTGCACGTATGTACATCGGTTCAAGTTGCCATACTGCATTAGCACACTGAGATAAAATTGACAGTCCAAACCCCCGATAATCAACTGATGATCATTCGGTAATTTTGTATATGAAACGCAAAGATAATTGGAAATCTCAAAAGAATCACTTCAATCAATTTTATTGAGAGGCAATACACAAGGTTTGTATCATAAATGAATAGCTATAAATAGTGACGAAATATAACTAACAGAATTTCGATTATTATTGAGATTCTGATCTAATCAGTGTGAATAATGGTAACCTAACAAATATTACAACTTATTGGTAATCAAAAATATTTCATAATTTATTTCTATTCTCTAGATAAGTAACTTATCAACTGCGGATTTGAAACAGTTAGCCAGTAAACATGTTACACAGTTTGCTATCAATGGACTACGTACCTTAGTTTATGCAAGTCGTCAAGTGGATTCTAGCGAGTATTACCATTTGCTCAATGAATTTTATCATGCCAATTCATTATTTGGCTCTGAACGTAGTGATGCATTAAAAATAATTTATTCAAAGATTGAATATAATTTAACATTGATTAGTGTTACTGGAGTTGAAGATAAACTTCAACCTGGTGTTCACGAATGTTTAAAAAATCTCCGTGATGCTGGAATTCAAGTAAGAAAATCTTCAATGTATTTTTTTCTATATACACGCATTATAAGTAACTAATACTAAACATTTTAATAGAACCATTTATACAACAGATGGATTGTTATTAGCAGTGGAATTTAGATTGCATTTGGGACTCGTGCTTAGATCCCAATGTCTATGAATATTTCACAGCTCGAACTCACTACCTTTAGCTTCAAATAGGCAATTCTTTGTCCGCTGAACTATTAATTTCAGATAGTCGCCAGCTTGTGCAACGAGTTTGAATGTTAATCTGATTAGCATTGGTTTGAATAATCTTATTGTTGGTTGTAAGAAGGAACGTTCCTAAAACCTGATAACCAGTAAAATTTATTTAAACCTTTCAAAATCTACTTTAGGAGTTCAGTGTTCTTCATTTAAAACGGCTATGCCACCTCAGAAGGAAAGCTACGATTCTCTAAATACCACTATATCTGTTTGCCTTCTGAAAACCAGATCAAAAATTAATATAAGTACACTGAATGTTTAGGCAGTGTTGAAGACCTGGAGGACCATTCAAAACGTAGCGGAAACGAGAAGATATAACCTCATAGTTTGTGAATTAAGCGGAACTCATCGGATACAATCTGAACAATTGAATTAGCCTTGGAAGCAGCATTTTTATATTCTGATCACGAAGAAGATGATATCTCTACATACACGGGGAGTTGTGTTGGTGCTGGTCAAAGAAGCCCGAAAAGAGCTTGTAGGATGTGAAGCTCATGGCTTGAAGCACGTCAATCATCCTCCGACAAAGAGAAGGAATGAATTACATTGAATGTCATTCAGTTCTACGCGCCCACCAATAATAGTAGCAAAGATAATAAATATCGCTTATATGGCAGGCTGAAGTCTATCGTAGAGAGTTGCTCATGAAAAGACTCTAATATTCTGATGAGAGACATGAACGAAAAAGTCGAATAAAGAATAACACAGAGTATGAAGATACTATGGCGGTATTTTCATGCACGAATGACTTAACAGAGCAATATGGGTTTCACCGGACCCCATCATTTTATTTTAACATTTATTTGAACACTTAAACATTGGTACAACAGGGCACCAAATACATATGTGCCACACAATAAAAATGAGGCTAGTAGCAGCCATCATTGATTTGTGTGGGGGCTGTGATGCTGTCTGGATGTCCAAATCGAAACAGGAGGACCACATTGAACTCATCCCTACTAATCAAAATTTCAGAAGGTTAATGGAAGATGAAACGTGAAAGAAATTAGCTAATGTACCCTCATATCGACGCCTAGTGATGGCTAAGCTGAAACTGAAGCGACTATTTACAAAAAGCTGTCTATTTGAAGTTCTCTATATCCGTTGACCAGACACCGTCATCAACGACCTACTGTAGCAGAGATTAAACCAGCTACCAAGTGAGGAGGAAATCACGAAAGGATATCCTAGGTGGATAAGTCACATTTTACGAAAAATATCAAACTTCATCACAGTGTATAGTCTTAACTTGAAATGTTCAACGTAAAGGGAAAGAGGCGGATCAAAAGACAAATTGCTCAAATATCAAAAACAATTTTTCAATGTTACATCAAAAGTTTCTATGAAATTTAGTTATGAGATAATTGTTTAACTAATTAATTTCAAAGATAAATTCAATTTTAAGTTATAAAATTTTCAGGTTTAAAATCAGCTAGTAACATAATTGTTTGTCTATCATATTCTTTTTGTTGCTGTTACTAAGTCAACTTTTATCCTCCCATTTCTTATTTTATTTTATTTTATTGATTATTTATTCATTATTGTTATTTTGAATTTTAGATTTGGGTATTAACTGGTGATAAAGAAGAGACAGCAATTACTGTTAGTCGTTCAGCTGGACATTTTACACCAAATATGAATTTAGTACATTTAACAAATTGTAATGATTTTTTTACTTTTGCATATAAATTATTTAATTATTTAGAAAAATTAAAAATTTATCGTGAAAAAAGAAATTTAAAAAAGAAAATAAAATTATTATTTAAAAGACCAATTAATTTAATCAAAATGAAAACAAACTTAAATTGTCGTATGAAAGTTGAGTTTAATTATCAAAATAATTCTATTGATGAAATTGATTTATATTATAATAATAATAATAATAATAATAATAATAATAATAATAATAAACAATTGTTTACAAGTAGATCATTACAACATAAATTAGATCGACCACGTTATAGACATTCAAAAAGACCTGGTTCTTCTGGTGAACCAATGGCTCTTGTAATAGATGGTAAAAGTTTACGATATGCATTGCATGTAAGTTTTGTTCATTTTTTGTTTTGGTAACAAGATATTATGATTAATTTGTAATGACGAGAGAGGTTTTATAAACATCCAATGTATTATTGTGAATGCTTATCGTAAATTAAATAGTTTTAACTAACTAATTTTAAATATAAAGATGGATAGTGGCTAACAGTGGAATTCAGGATGCGCGTTTCGTCTTATTTGAAACTCTTCAGATTGTGAATTAAGACTATATCGAGGCAATATGCACTGTATGTACATATGCCAATAAGAGACTGATGAATTGCAGTCCTAAATAACAATGAGAAAATTCCAATAAACAATACCAAGTGAATTTTAACTTTACTCCATCGAACAAGCAAGTGGTTATCAGGACTCAGTAGCTAAGTGAATAACGCGATGGCGTTTGAAGTAAATGGTACTGAGTTCAAGTCCCAGAGTGAACATCAACTCTGAGATGCAGGTACATCCAGCTGACGAGTCACAATTAGGACGAAACGCATATCTTGTATACCACTGCTAGCCACTATCAATCTTTGCATATAACGCTTGTGAATTAAGGCTATATCGAGGCAATCCGCACAGTATGCACATATGCCAATAAGAGACTAATCAATTGCAGTCCTGAACAACAATCGGGATTTACAAGTAAAACAATACCAAATGAATTTAATTAATTTTAGGTATAAAATGATTATATTTATCTGAATTCAAGCAACAGAGTAGTATCTTCAACCCTAACGCAGACGTAGTAGTGTATGGGATAAGTGAATATACCTCTATAAAGAATGTGACTAAAAACAAAATGTACTCCAGATTACTTAATAATCAATAATTATTGACATACAAATGTCACAATGTATTTCTATATGTATTCATTTGGGTTTGTTGTTAAACAATTACTAAAATAACCCACATTAGTATAGTTCCATGACTATCGTAATTCACTTTGCATCACAAACAGTAACTCACATGTATAGTACTTCGAAGAATAAATCAAGAATAAAACCTCTAAATATTTGAAAGAGATAACGTTTAGTAAGCATAAGTATGTGACAACTAAATAAGCACTGAACAAGAAGGATAGATGTCAAAATCACTTTATAGATGGTGGGTTAATAAAATATAAAAGCATCTTTTGGAAAATCCTTGATATGTTTAGTAAAAAATTGTGAAATCATATCACGATTACATAAGGTAGCAAAATTAAAAGAATCGGGTCACTCGAACCACTAGATTATAACTCAGAAGCTTAGTAATGTTGTGCTCTCCATGAAATCTAGACGTCCTGCATTCAAACCAATGTATGGTCGTTGTTATGCATCGCCAAGAAGTTCTAAACGAGAAAGAAGTCGTTATTCACTGCTTTGTGGTTTCAAGTTACATTTTATCTGATATTATTTATACATAATCCAATATACCATCTCGTAACAACACTATCCAATATAAGAGTAAGTGTTAATTAGTGAAATATGGAAAATAAAGTTAATAGTAGCTTGTTACCATATTGTCCTAATATAATTTTAGCATTTGTATATAGTGATATCTCAAACTTTCTACATCAAGTTTAATAAAATGTTTTGACTTTTGAAAGAAAAATATGCCAAATTGTGGCACTGAAAACTGATATATAGAAATCAATCAACTCTAGAAAAGACTTGACATATATGAAATCGATCACTATTCGGTGATTAGTAAGTTATCAGAAGGGGTTTTGTGGAGCTTTCAGAAATTTCAATAGTTGAAATCATGAGTCAATTGAAGCTAGACCACCACCTCACTAGTGACAGACTTCAAGAGATATCAACTCACTGAAGACAATGGTGTATGGTGGCGCAATTTCGTGGATTAATTGAAGTTAGATATTAACACCTTTGGATACCGGCCGGCTCAGTGGTCTGATGGTTAGGCGCTCGCGCGCAAGACTGGCAGGTCCTGGGTTCGAATCTCGTGGGGGGCGCGATCGTACTGCTGAGGAGTCCCATACCAGGACGAAACGGCCGTCCAGTGCTTTCAGGTTTTCAATGTTGGTCTAGCTTCAAATGACTCATGATTTCAACTATTTAGATTAATAAATTGTAAAGGACCACTATAATTTGTAAGCGATTACATTTTCCCGCTGATGATGTAAAGGATTATAATTTATTAGTCCGTAAAGGTAAATGTGCATTGTGAGCCGGTCGCCTCGACAAAACCATTAAGTCACAAGTTTTAATAAAGTATAATTATGGCTAACAATAAAATCCACCTTCATGTTTTAAAAAAGATAATAAGTCTATAGTTCTACCATTCAGATAGCTGTTTTGGCATCATTAACCTAAATGACTGTTGAGGACGTTAAATCCCCAGAACTCACCTCGAAAAGGTCCTAATTTTGTAGTTTTATTCTGAAAATTTGAACTTTACGTTTCGCGTCAAGAGACGCTTAGTTAACCTACAGCTTATATTTTCCACTCGGAAATCCTTGACTATCATTGGCTGACGGATGTTTTAGTACGATATTTTGTGGCTCTCCTAAGGGCGTTTCTATCATTGTATAAATAAGCTTGATTTGTGTGCTCAGTGACCTCGGATTTTCTGAGTGCTTGTAGAATACATTCTCTGCGCTTCATCAAGACATCTTGATCTAGTGAGCAGGGCCGGGGATAACGGATTACAATAGCCTATCGTGTCACTGTATCTTCGACCTTCGTTCCGTCTACCGAGTAAGGTGAACTCGTAATAGCATTTAAGCACATCAATGACAGAAGCATTTACTGTCATAAAATGTTATTATTGATATTTGGCACGGTGAAACCACGAGTGATTATTTTCTTTAATATGTTTAAGCTAATTGTAAAGCGAACTTCCAATCTATTCGAATGCCTCGTAATTGTTTATGAAAATTCAAATAAGAAGCTTACATTTAGGCACTAAACAATCGATCAGTTTCGATATTAACTGGTTAGAACCAACCAATAGGAGGCCCAGACCCTATGACTTTTGTCACTCAGCATTTGATAACAATGGGTTTCTGTATTATTCAGAAAACTATTTCTCCTCGTAAGACTCAAACCAACGTCACAGTCACGAACGTTAACACAGTGCTATTACGGTCTCTCCTGACCTCTTGTAAGATTCCAATTTTTTTAAATGATTTGTTGTTGAGTAGTAAGCGCTTCATATTTATCTAGCACTTATAATATAATCAGCACTATGGAGTACATAATTTTGATTTTGTTGATCACTCAGTGATTATTCATTACTTTATCAGTTTGTTTTTTTAATGCAAAACCCATTTGATTTTAGTCTGATCATGAGATTAAACATTGTGTTCTGACCGTCGAAACTCACATATGTGTATTGGAACGGAGATTTTTTAAGGTTCATCAGTTGTGAAGTGCATGATAAAGTTCATAAACGTTCATATTAGGTCACAGCAAAAGTTGATAAATGAAGAAATCCTATATTTTTATAACCTAAGTGTTTGAAGTATAGTTTATATTATTTTAATATATTTTCATTACGGAATAACGTCAACTTTGTAAACATTAAAAAACCCTCAAGCACTGGATAGTAACGTAGTTTAAGTTTGTAAATTTTCACAACAAACCAAGAATTGTACCAATAATCATCAGTTCCTGTGATGAGATCAATATCTTTGTACTATCAATATAATACACATTGGAATTAAAAGCATTAGAATAACTAATAGGATTGTTTGTAATTGATAATACAAAAAATACTCAGAACTATTCAAAATGTACTCCTAGCAGTCACTGATGATCCATTAGGTGAAGACAGAAAAAGACTGTAAACATGAGTTATGTTCGATGTGAAAAAAAGCCGTTTATTATGTCACCAGTGATTGAAAAACTATGTAAAAATTTCGCCAAAGTATTTCTGATCGTCTTATCCGGTTAACAGGCGAATTCGAATATATTTAACTAGGCATTGGTCAATATAAACTAAATAATAACCGAATACACGCAAACAATTTACGACATCGATTGATTTAAGTGCACTGCTTAACATTATAATAAATTATTGAGTTGCCTATTTTCTTCATCTCGATAATAATACACAGTACAAACTCTATTGTTCAGTGATTTGAGTTTTAACTTTAGAAACTAATAATCAATATTTTTCATCAGATAAGATACTACTGTTGGTCAGTATTTACTGGTTTTCGATTGTGAACTAATTGGTATAAAAAGATTTATGGTTTTGATCATTGTGAAATAATTTGCATTACTTTAGTGATATATTCTATTTCCAATTTTTATAATTGTCATCTTTATAGCCTACTTTACGAAAAACATTTTTGGATTTATGCTTACATTTAACTACTGTATTATGTTGTCGTATGACACCATTACAGAAAGCATCAGTTGTACAACTTGTACGTTCAGGTTTATCAGAATTTGGTACACCTCCGATCACAGCTGCAATAGGTGATGGTGGTAATGATGTTGCAATGTTATTACAAGCTAATATTGGAATTGGTATACATGGTAAAGAAGGAAAAGAAGCTGTGCGGGCTTCGGATTATGCCATTCCACAGTTTAAGTAAGTCATCTAAGTATTTATTGTTAAACAACACATCTAGAATTGTCACAGTCATTATTAAATTTAAAAAGAATTGTGAAATTTAGATTTGTTTTGCTATTTAAGTTTAAGAGTGATATGCTTATTTATTAATATTATTAACCAACTGAAGTTAGACAACAACAGAAAAGCAAGAAGCACTCGACAGCTGTTTCATTCTCATATGGGACTTCTCAGTGTGCACCCTCTATCGCAGTACCGCAAGTTGATTTAAGCTAGATATGTTGACCACTTGTTGCTGGTCATTTGTTGTGAAGTTTAAGTCCTCACCACCAGACCTGAATACCCTGAATTCGACCACCTGTGATGAGGTTGTGTTTGCGCACTGCCACTGAGGAGTCCCATACTAGGACAAAACAGTTGTCAAGTGCTCCCTGATTTTCAGTGACTGTCTGAATTAGGTTGATTTGTGATTTCAATAACATTCCACAATCTCGACAAGCCCCCATACTGATATTAGTTCAACTGATAAAATTATAATTAAATAATTTTTGTGTAAAAGTGTTTGGATCAGTTAAGTGTGTGTTATAATTATCCAATTTCAGTTAAAAAAGCACTCTACATCTTAATCAACGTATTATATGTTTCAACTAACAAACACTAGGCAGAAAGTGAAATAATTCCTGTTAAATCATTTACAAAATATATAATGTGTTGTTCGATTTGACTGATTTTCAATAGAAACACTGATTGTATGGATTCTGGTTATTTTAAAAACGACTTGCGGTTGCCACCATACTGTAGACGATTTTAGAAATAAGAGATTCTGAAGCAAAATTTTCCTTGGACGCTAATTATGACTTCATAACTCAATGAATTAAACAATTAAATAGTGTTGAAGGTAGTCATACATGGTTAGTTATACATGAATATGTGCTATTTAGCTATCTATCTGATCCAGTTATGAAGTATTGATCATAGACAATTGAAAATATGGATCAAATGATATAACATAGGATACACGAAGTTTGATGAAGAATATAAAACATTAAATGACCTAAAGATACGTCATTTTTGCAATAATCATATAAGGACTCATTATAAAACTAAATTTTGGAAATATTCGAATTCACAACAAATTCAGTAATTTATATCAAGTGTAATGTTCTCAATAATAATTAAAATAATTCGGTACTTAGTTGTTTAAAACACTGTGATTTCCGACTAAAGTAATTGGCTCTCGATCATCAGATTTTACTATATCCTGATGAGAATAATGAATGGTAACTTTTGAGATACATTTATGAATAAATACTAAACGTATATTTTTATCATGTAATTGATGAATATCTAAACTATTCATATTCGTGTTCCTCTTATCATAAGCTTTATTTTCATCTATCAACTGTTATTATACGATTTAACATTCTTGAGTTATACTTAGTCTATCAATTACTACCTCCCACATTCACAACCACATTTGACTAAATCTTATACAAATGTTGTCTCCTATTTTATGGTATGATGTGGTTTATGTGATTGGTATATAAACCCAGTATGTTTGAAATAAATGATTGATATCACAGATGTTGAGATTGGTGTTTTGAACTTAACAGGCTGGGTTAGGCGGTAAGCAAGATCGATAAGGAATCTAGCCTGCTTGTATGTGTTTTATGCGTCATTGATCCGATCTATAATTCACTGTTCTTTAATTGGCGGTATCATCACGTTATATAATAATAGGGCACACAGGCCACAAGTCATAACAATTGGCGACGGGGTCAAAAACAAAGAATCAAGGGCACAAAACTACAAGTTATAACAGATTTCAGCTTCGAAGTTCACTTTATCTAATTCCATTTAAACAATTAGATAGTATTATAGGCAAAAATGGATGGTGGTTATCAGTGGAATCCACTGCGTAAGAATAGACTGTGAAAGGAAGCTGTATACTATATTGGTTATTCTCTTAGATACTGATATGTATTAGTAACTACTGTCTAAATGGATACCTGGAAACTTTAAAAATTGGTTCTGTGTTCTGATGAAGTTAATTGATTTATAAGTGATTCTAAATTATCGTTTATAATAGAAGAATAATAACAGTTAGATAATGTTAAAAAGGAAAGAAATCGTTGAAAGAATTATTTACAGTTGAATGGTAAAATCCTAATAGGTTACCTATAGGGATTTGATTTTAATTCACTACTTGATCAGGGTTGATAATATAAATGAGAAGTTCTAAATTGTAATGAAACAGGTATTCAATACTCGTTGGTATTAAGTAATTTTTAATTGATTTCAATTAAGAATAGAATAGTGAAACATTCATTGAAAAACGTTATTATCAGTTGTTTATCCATGACGAATTATACTTTTTTATCCAAATGAAATTCATAAAGTGGAAATTGTTTCTAGAAATGATTTCAGTGTTTCTAATCATTCACAATTGCTATTTAGATTAACTTTGTAAAACACTCATTTGGTTGAATATGTGTAAAAACTAAAATCTTTAATAATTTAATTCAACTCTGGACTATTTTCATAAAACTCTGAATGACGTAACAGAATAATTTGATATTGTAAGTAACGAACTGATTGTAATTTACAGCATGAGGAGATAACGAATATTGCTGAACCCATTCAACAGTATTAAATGCTCGGCAAAGTCAAAGGAAATACTATTCAAAAAACTTTTTTGATTTCATAACACAAACTTTTTGTAAATATTTTCCATTAACTTACAATCACATCAGTAAATTGGTTTAGTTCAATAAAAAAACAACAACAGATTTTCCACTGGAATAGTTCAAACAATTAAGCTATATTAATTTGAACATTGAGCAAAGACATATCTATCTCGTCGAATAGTAATCGAAAATGTTGCTATCCAACTAAGTACGTTATTCTACCTACCACTAAACTGTTTAAAAACTGCTTAAAAAAGAAATCTGATATTTTATTACAGTATGTTAGACAACCATTTAAAATTAAATAAATCAATTATAACAAACAGTATAACAATGAATAAAAACTGATACATAAAGGCTTTGTTCATCAAAATGGAGAGCCAACAACATACTGTTTTATCTATCTATCTCACTGGTTGAAATCATGAGTCAATTGAAGCTAGACCAACATCAGTCAGTCAGTCAGTAACAACGTAGAACTTCGTACGTACGTACATCAGTTCGAGTTGCCACACCACATTAGCACAGAGATGCACTTGTCGATTCAAATCCCGTAGTGATAGAGGTAATAAGAGTATAAGTAGTAATCGGGAAGATTAGGGTTTGGAGATGTTATTTAAAGAGTATAATACAGTGAAAGAAATTTGGAAAGAGGAAAAAAGGGACATGAAGAATTCAGAAGATTAGAGTTTGGGAGAACACAGAGAGTGGATGCACCTGCGCCATTGCAAACGATTTTGAGCCATGTCATTCAGGGTCTCTAACCATCGGTTGCTGTCATCTCGCGGTCCCCAACCAGGTAGTCTACACCTACCAACATGACTCAGTCCACTTGTCAGTGACTTCATGGATTTGTGCCATGTTTTGGTTTGGCCGCCCCTAGCTTTCTTCCAACCTACTCCTATACCACTGAACATAGCACGTCGAGGCAGTCGGTCGTAGGGCATACGTAACACGTGTCCCAGCCATCTCAACTGATGAAGTTTCACTACTTCATCAATTGATTTGCCATCCTTACCTAGTACCCGTTTCCTAACAACTGTGTTACTTACTCGATGGTCCCATGATATACGAGCAATGTTTCGAAGACACCTATGATCAAATACTAGTAACCTACGGATATCCTCTACTCTTACCGACCATGTTTCACTGCCATAAAGTAGGACGGAACGAACTGCTGCGCAGTAAACACGTCCTTTGGTTGATAGACGGATATCTCGCCTACGCCATAAATGACGCAAGTTGGCAAAAGCTAGTCGAGCCTTCTGTATCCGTGCTGAGATTTCGTCACACACCAAACCACAAGGGCTGATGAGACTTCCAAGATAAGTGAAGCGGTCGACACACTCAACTACTTCACTCCCTATCACTAGTTCGGGTGTCGATGTAACCCAATCCTGAAGCAACATTTTGCATTTCGAGGGAGAGAATCGCATCCCGAACATGCTTGCATTGTTGCTTAGAGTGGTCAGAAGACTCTGCATTTTGTCAGCGTCTTCACCAACATGGATAACCTGGAAGCACTGGACGGCCGTTTCGTCCTGGTATGGGACTCCTCAGCAGTACGATCGCGCCCCCCACGAGATTCGAACCCAGGACCTGCCAGTCTTGCGCTCGAGCGCCTAACCATCAGACCACTGAGCCGGTCGGTATCCAAAGGTGTTAATATCTAACTTCAATCAATCCACGAAATTGCGCCACCATACACCATTGTCTTCAGTGAGTTGATATCTCACATCAGACCTAGTTGAACTCCACTATCTATCTATCTATCTACCGACTAATCTATCCATAAATATATTTATGTGCATTTCCATCCATTTTTTACCACAAAAATAACTATCACTCTTTTTTTACTTTCGCTAAATACAACCTTTCACTGATCTATCAGACTGATAAATCGTATAAATTCAGCTTACTAATAAATAGAAGCTAATAAAACTTAACAACCAAGATGTCTTTAGTAGATATGAGATATTTCCATTTCTACTGCAAAATTAGGAACTTATGTTCAAAGAAACACTCGAACAAATTATTCCAAATATCTCTCCTTTGGTTATCATTAAAAGAAGTATTAAAAGACATTTATAAGGTCATTTTTGTCGGAGAACCTTAATATTGAACTCTCAAATAAACAATTGCTTTCTTGTAATTAAATGCTATTTCTTTAGACAAATATTCAAGGTAGACGTTTATGATATCAAATACTTATGATTTTCTAAATAAATTATTTAAGCTTTTTACAAAAACTGTTAAATGATACCAAACTAATAGTTTTATATCTTTTAAATTTTTTTTTTGTTTATTTATTTTATTACAAACATTACAGACATCTACAACGTCTTCTTTTAGTTCATGGACATCGAGCTAATTATCGAATATGTTTAACAATGGATTTATTCTATTATAAATGTGTTGCATTTGTAACAACACAATTACTTTATACATTTTATAGTGGTTTCTCAGCTGTAGCAACATTTGAAACTGTTTTATTTTCAATTTACAATTTAACTGTAACATCGTTAATGTGTTTACTTTTTGGCTTGTTTGAACGTCATTTACCTGATGATATATTAAATGCGAATCCATATCTTTATAGAAAGGTAGGTTTTAAATAAACATACTGTCAGATTCATTATTATTTTTTTATTTATAATGATATAGATTATTAAATTTCATCATCATACAGAGAAGGAGAGAACTTTAGATGACTGTCTCATATGTTTTTGAAATTTTTCGAAACACTCGTTTATGACTACACTTAATATCTGACTTATATGTTCAAAGTTCAAGATTGGGCTGAATACGTAATATGCAAAGTCAGCACACTTAGAAGTTAGAAATTAACACTTCCACGACATTGAAAAAGAATTATGAAATAATTGTGTGTTGGAAAATTTTAATTAATTGACTTTGTTGTATCATCCTAAACGTTTTATATGTGACCTTTCATGGGGTTTGATGATTCTCAAATTAGAAAGAAATTATATTTCAGTGCCTCATGAATTGCAAAGGTTCTCCAATTAATTTTGGTTCATGATTAAAACTACTATTAGAATACTATTTGATGTTAGTTTATAAAAACCAATTTGTGAGTAATATATTAAATACTGGATACAATATCGAGGATAAATTAACATTTATTTGTTAGTTCACATAATGCGCGACTTGTTCTTAAAATGGATAAACTGTCATCTTTATTAAAACTGATAAATGATTTTAAACATATGTTTATTTCACAAGATAATTGAATCTGTATGATAAGCTTGTGTTATTGTACTTTTCTAGGTTTTTTGATAGCTGATATTTGTCATTGATTACTTTTTCTTTTGGTTTACTATTTTGTTATATGTTCCCTAGGTCATTATTATCACCAAATAAATAGGAAATTTTGGCTTCTTCTGAGAATACGAGTCTCATTGTTGAGATCTAACTTCTAATTATATCACACTGTGACTTTGAAAAATGCATGACTGAAGCGTTTCCATTTCTTAGTGGAAAGACTTGGTGAGAACGAATGAAAAGGGAGAAATTCGTTCCAGGCCTAATCGGCTGCGAGTAACATACACTATATTTAAGTAATGTTCAATCTAAATATAATTAAGTTATTCGATAGTTCACTAATAAACAAACCAGGACATGAAAAAATATGTTGTCACTATTTATAGAAGCAAACCGAAAAGAAATGATTAAGACTTGAGCCACTGAAATTTAAATAATAATCTAAATAAGAACGAGAAAATGAATGACTCAGGGGAAGATAAAGAGATATATCTGTGTTACTGCATCCCATTTTAACTGTTATTTAACGTTTTCAGCTATATAGAAGGAAAATGCCAAAAATACAACAATTCGATCCATTATCGGTTACAACCACACTATATTTTTTCATGGAAAGTCGCCTTTACTTTCCCATAGTTCTCCTCCATTTATACTTTGTTGTTTGCTCGGAATAAATTCCAATTATATTACTGACCCCAAACAGGAAGTTAACGTATCTTTCAACATAGCTGAAACTAAAAATTAAAGAATTCATTTTTCTTTTTATCACCCTCTATCCTCCAACTTACATCGAAGCTAACTACCATTTCGCTCCATATTAGGTGATGAAAAAGTATCAGTAACCTGCATCCCTTTTATCCTGGTCTATAATCCATTGGCCATGTCTATTTGGCACTCTTTCCCTATCTTCAGAGTTATTAGCTTAATGAGAGCATCATTAGTGACCAAAGCTCTGAAGAAATCCATGGTCAAATAATTGCAAATTATGCACATCCTCAACTTTCGCTACAAATATTTCACAGTCATAATATAATACAGAGAGAGCCACTAAATAGTTTACTCGTTTTTTACTAAACAGTTGGAAAATTCAGTAGTTAATATTTAAGTGGCGACATGTATTTAGCTGAGCACCTTAGTATTTCAAGATATTTAATTAGATGATCCCATCAAAAAGATATTAATTACGAAAATTTTCTTTCTTTATTATTAATCGAAAACTAATACTACTAATAGCTTAAACATCAAGCAAACTTGAGATCATGGTATGTTTGTCTATGGATATTAGATGGAATATGGCATGGTACTATAATATTTTATGGTACTACTTATTTTCTTACTGGTGGAAATCACTTCTCCGAAGGTACATTTTATGATTCACATGGAAATATACAACAATTATTTGATATGAGTCTTTATGGATGTGCAACTTATTTGTTTGTATGGTTTTCAGTAAGTCTACGTATTTTCATTGCATCACGCGATTACACTATTATAATATTTGGAGGAATTCTATTTACTTTGATTGGGAATATAGCAATATTAATTGCATTACAAGTAAGTAGACTGTATTACTTTTTTTTATAATAAAGCTGTATATATAAGACAATTGAAGCATGTTTTTTTATATTATTCTTACCTCAGTTATGGCCAAGGTATAATACACATTAAAAAACATCATAAACATATCAAATCGAAAGATTTAAGGAGCTTTATTTAAAAGTCCTGATAATTCTTAGAATTTTAATAAATCATCGAGATATCTGGTAACTATAAGCTTTATTACTTCCACTTATCAGTATTATATGTTTGATATCTGGTATAAAACACTTAGTTACTGAGATGGTGAAGATTTGTAGCTCAGGTGGATGATTTTGGTGGAGTTTTGTTCTCTGAGTTCAGAGAACAAAACTCCACCAAAAACACTTAGTTACTGCTTATATTTTTTTTCTCATTTATGAATTCATTATCTTTGATAATGTAAGTTCAGTCACTAGAAATATTAGTTCATGTATGTTAATTATCATTATTACAATGTTAGTTGTAATTTTTTTATGATTGATGCTAAACACAAAACAAGTTGGGAGTTAAAGTCTATACAGATACGGATTTATTGTAATAACTATTAGATTACCGAATAGAAGTTAATGCAATGAAGTGAAGCGTCTACCATATTTAAAAAAATGAATATAGAATAAGACGAAAAAGACAAAAAACACAATCTCTACAAGAGAGATTTTTATTTCTCAAAAAGAGATAATATGAGTAAAAGCTATTCATTACTCGGCCTTTAAAAATATCTAATAGAGACAGATAAGGAAGAATAAAACTCAATTGTTTATTGCACATTTACAAAAACACAGTTCAATTTAAGGGGCAAAATGTAAATGTTCAAATAATAATGATAATAAGAATATGATTTTATAAATAAGATCATCATAATAGAAATGAGTGTTATAAGTAATCATCTACAATCTACCATGCTAAGGGACCTTCAAAAAAAGAAGAGTAATCTTTAACATACTATTGAATAATATGTATTATGGTTCATAATAGTATACGGTACATTGCTGTTACAAAGCTGACTAAGTTGGGAGACATGAATTAAGACGATTATTAGTCAAACTGTTTCCATTAACATTTTATATGTACCATTATCAATCGTATATAGAAATATCGTTTATTTGTTAGTATAATAACATAGCATCAAAGTATAGTTTAAATGAAATGGAACATTCAATGTACTTTATATAAATTATACGGAATCTGTCATAACATATTTTGTTTATCAGGCTAAATAGTAAACACTTCTTACCAGTGAAGTATCATTTATGCATCACAAATTCTCACGATCCATCTTTGTATTATCGATTACAGAAATTGTTTAAAATCTTTTATTTCAAAATAATTACTATGTTTTTAATTTAGAGTACAACAACACTTGACAACATCAATTTTCGCAGTTATACGAAATTATGCCGAAGTCCAACATTCTGGTTTGCTCTACCGCTTATCTTATGCATAGCTAATTTTCCATCTTTATTGTGGAGAATCATCTCGGATGCATGGTGGAATCTACAAATTTACTTAAGTAGTATACCTCATAAGCAGATTCGTCGAAAATATCGTCGATCACCAATGATCTGGTTTTTGGCATTAACAACTAATTACCTGACTGATTCGTATGATATATTTCATCGAAATGAAATTAAACAAAATAGTTCATAACTTAGGCGAAGCGAATAGTTCCACAATACTATCAGCCGAGTAAGTCTAGTAGCATTTGTATAAATGAAAAATGTATAAGAAAGGAAGCGGCTATTAGAAAAAAACAATAACAAAGAGAATAAATAAAAATTGTTAGATATGATTTAGCCGTCAAGTTTTTTAACCATAAACACTTTAATAACTAGTTAAATCACATCATAAGGAACGTGAAATTTAATACTGTTGAAACGTCGATTAGAGACTGTTTTGCAAATAGTGGTAAATAAAAGCCTAATGAATATCCCACATTGATTCTGGTCTTGATAGTTTTATTGGACACCATTATTTGAAGGTGAATTAGCATTCTTGTCCTATCCCAGCAAACGAGATGTTGGACACTTTTCCATCCTCTAGATAGACAGATTAATAGTTGTAAGTTTATTTACCTCTTTCTACGGTCAAATATATTGCTGCTTCCAATTATTATAAACTATTTCAGTGTTTTTTTTGAGAAAAAATATTTAAAAGTCTTTAGTGTAACACTCATTCAATGTTGTCATACCGAGAGTTTTGCAAACGAAACTACAACATACTGCTATGACAATGGAGATCAAGTTGTTAACCGTTAGCTTTTTGTCAAAAACTCTGAAGGTTTGACCAGCAAGCATTTATTATATGAATGACTTTGTTGAGGATACCTATATCTGAATCTTAAATCGTTAAGGGTTGATATAAACAACATCATTATATGTTGAATATGACATAATATGGAAGCAAAATTACACATAATACTTACTCCATCTGATGAATATTCTATCTGAAACATAATTCATTAAGAATATGTTCCTTTTTTGTCTATTTAAAATAAATTACCAACTAACTTGTTTCACTATTGATGCATTTAATAGTAAACACTTTTGTTCTTAATATTGTGAGGAATTTCATTAACACTGTTCCCAACTCATTGTCTCAGCACACCAATTAGTCATCCTTCCAGGAATAATGAACATGTATATCATAAACACCATGGGAAAACACTTACATCAATATTAATTGGTCAATAATAGTATCTAACATATAATGATATTTAATTATATTACTGCGCTATTATAGCAAAAGTGGTTTACACTCGGACTTTAAAAACCGGATAAAATTCTTGAGAAATGAGTAAGCTATCTAAAACTACCAAATATATCGAAATTGTTTTACTGTTTAAGCATCAATTTTTATTTTGACAGTCTTTATACTAATCAAATAATAAGGAGCATGAACATTACATGATCATTTTCAGGATTATTTAAAATCTAGACCATAGTTTCATCGGACATAATAGTTTGCTTCAAACATTTTGAATGAATGTAACGTGTATGATCACAGTGTCAAAAAAAGGATTTAGTTTAGAACAAGTAAGGAATTACGTAGATATGCTTGATCATTTTTATAATGAAAAAGGTATATTCAAATGACCACAGATAGAGTAGCTTAATTTTGCGTCATATAATATTTTTAGAAAATGCAATAATGAGGTATATGCTTCAGATAGTTTCATTATTTTTGAAACAAACAAATATGAATGAAATGAGCCCTCGTTTATATGTTTTCGTATAGTGAATACTGAATAAGTAATATTCATTCAAACTAACAAAATGTTTCGAAATAATAGATAAGGGTTTTCTTATCAAGCTTTGCACAGAATTCATCATGACTGGGTATCATTTAAGAAATTGGAGAAAAATAGGTTTTGTTTTCACATTATTTGACTCCTCAGATATATGTGCATATGATTCAATCTAAGTTTAAATCAAATAATAGAATAAACAGTAAGTCGATTATTTAATAGTTTACTTAGTTAAATTCAATCATACCATGACATAATGTAAATGATCTTCTAGTGTTTGATTTATTGTTATTATTATTTTTGTTATTATTGTGATGTACTTGGTTGTCCTAAAAAGCTACAACTTCTCACTGAAATTTCAATTGGTTGTTTTGTACCATATACTTAGTTACTATCAGACACTAACAATGAATGAAAGTGTTAGCTGTTGGAGAGCGAAACAGTTTTGTATAATTAAATTTTATTTAACATAAAATATATGGTTATCTCCATTCTGAAAAAGATTATTTATATGCATATACTTCAGTTTTATTAGGATATAAGTTAACTATCACTACTTAATAAAATTTTCAATGGTGAAACACTGTTATCTAACATGTCTACTAACACATATTTATTTATTTTAACACATAGACATTGGTACAAGGAGGCACCAAATATATATGCGCCACACAGATCTCATTCGATATGTGTGAGGGTTGTGATACTGCTAGGGTGCCCAAACCGAAGTAGGTGGTTTTCTTAGGGGGACACTCCCCGAGCCTTCAACCTGAAGGTGTGATCCACAAGGCAGTGGAGCATCGTAAGGAGATGCAATCCCATGGAAGCCGGTGACCAACATTTGGTTCATACTGCATTTGTTCCCTCGGGATACTGGAGCCCATGTGCACCATTGGTTTGGAATCCGGTTAAAGCGCTGGACATTCGCTTTTCGTCCTCTCATTTTCGTGAAGAACACCGCTGCCACGAGAAGGCAATGAGTAGGACTTCCTTGACAGAGGCTATATACGCGTGGCCATGTGAGAGCATTTCGAGAATGAGAGCGAACTCTCCACGCTCTCGGCCGTACCAGGGCATTTGCGGGCTAACAGAGATCATACCAATATTTTAAAGAAAATATTTAGTTCATTTAGAATCTCAAATAGTATATTTTACAGGCATATTATGGTAACTGTGGTATATATATGGCGAATTCTACCACCGTTGATGTAACGAGGTAATTATTGAGGGAAAAATAAATCTGTAATTGTATTTAGCGGAAATTGTGTGTGAATAAATTATTACTATTACTATTAATACTATAATTATCGTTCTAATAATGAAAGATTAACTAAGTCATACTTTAATATGAAAAGATTGTATACCCTTTTTGTTATGTCTCAATGAGAATAATGAATGGTAACTTTTGGGATGCATTTATGAATAAATACTAAACGTATATTTTTATCATGTAATTGATGAATATCTAAACTATTCATATTCGTGTTCCTCTTATCATAAGCTTTATTTTCATCTATCAACTGTTATTATACGATTTAACATTCTTGAGTTATACTTAGTCTATCAATTACTACCTCCCACATTCACAACCACATTTGACTAAATCTTATACAAATGTTGTCTCCTATTTTATGGTATGATGTGGTTTATGTGATTGGTATATAAACCCAGTATGTTTGAAATAAATGATTGATATCACAGATGTTGAGATTGGTGTTTTGAACTTAACAGGCTGGGTTAGGCGATAAGCAAGATCGATAAGGAATCTAGCCTGCTTGTACGTATTTTATACGTCATTGATCTGATCGATTATTCACTGTTCTCTAATTGACGTTATTATCACGTTATATAATAACAGAGCACTTAGGCAACAAGTTACAACACTTTTCCTCTAATATCATTTCATTAATTCTTATTCTAAGGAATCATTTTCTCTACAATACATTTTAGTTATATACTGAGATTACAATTAGAAAAAAATAAAATCCAAGACATTGTAGTCAGTATAATTCGCATTGAATTGTATAAGCTTTAAGTACAGTAATTTACAAAATATTGATAGTTGTATAATTATAATGATAATTTACAGTTAATATGCTTTTCTATTATTTAATTTTTAGTGTATACAATAATCAATCATCAAATTAACAATGAATGTAAATAATAGAAATTTTAATGATTAATGATGTAAATTATACATAAAGGTTTACCAGTGCTTTCTCTTTAGTGTTCCGATCATATTTTTTTTAAACGAAACAAACAATTTATTCACATTATTTTGTTTTTCTAAAAAATGTTAATATCCAAGTTTATTCTAAAATAAAAAGTTTTTTTGCAATGAATTTACTTTTATGTACTCCTTCAAGGTACTTCTTGTACTTTAACATTGTTCCATATCATTCATTATACTGATATGTAAGTGCTTAACATGGTTTCTTTTCTTTTAATCTCCGGTATTGTATACTATTCTGGAAGAATATTCTCTGTGAATTATTCTTCTATCGTTTCTTTTACTGTCTTCTTCTTAAATAACAAGAAATGGGTTTTTTTAATCTACAAACTGATGTTTTTTTGACTACATTTTATTGAAGATGTTAAGTGAACCTCATTATTAATATTTCTATTTTGTGAAGATTTACGTGTTTTTATATGATTATTTTGTATATGTATGCAATGTACTTGAATATTCGTGTTTTATTTCTAGACAATAAGAGTTTAATTAAAATAACCAACCAATAAAAATAATTGGGACTTCCGTAAGATACGTTTGAATTGGGCAGAGAATTTTAAAAACAACTTTAAAATCTTATTTTTCTGAAGTCGAGATTTTCTCGCTGATAGTTGATTATGTAACGTCGCTAAAAATAAAAGAAAAACAGAAATGAATAGTACAAAAAAGACAGAAAAATCGTAAGCTTATAAATGGGTGAGACTGTAATTTGTGGACAGACTAATCAGGTAACAGGTTTCGGGTTTTGGCGTGAAATTCCCTCATTCATTTGGTTAAACAGATTTTTGGCATTATAGATTATGTCAGCTCGTGATGAAAACTTTAAATCTAATTGCTAACCATAGCTATCAACTGTAAATCATTATTCTCATTCCTCACACTGGTTTATAACTCTCATTTAGTTCTGCTGGACACTCTCAAGGTCATTCTAGCGCCGCTCAAAGGTCGTTCATAAATTATAGTCTCAAAACTAATTATTTGAGGAAATACATCAAGCTGTAATCAAAGTATAAACTAAATTACTATATCCGCTCAATTATTACATTTTCAAAAAAGTCCTTAGAATATTTAAGAACTGAAAAAAGTGAAGTGTAAAGCAAGCCGTGAAACTTGAAATAGACTAAAAATAACCAACCGTATATGAGTATTTTTGGTGTTTGTGGTAACTGACAATTCCTTTGTGCATAATTCCGTACTTGATTAGAATTCCAAATTCGTTACCTGTAAATGCACTGACATATTTCCCTTTAACTTAAATATTGATTCATTTGTGACGACTGGGGTAGGAAATGAACACTCCTGGAAATTACTAGTTCAAATGCTGAAATTAATTACTTCTAATCTGTAAGATCCATTTTGAATGCTTTGTGTGTTGGTGAAAATCCCTCCATGTATATACTTGCACTTTGTTCCTATTGATCCTCTTAGTTGTACATTGTTAACTTTTGACTACATTTGAATTGTTAATATTTGTATTTTATTATAGTTTTCGTTTTTTACTACACCATCACTGACTCCCCATGTTTCCTCCCGAACTGCACTTATGTTGTTTTACTTTATACTAAGTCTGAGCGGCAGCCATTTTGGTTGGTTCCTGCTTTTGATTGCTTGACCTGTGTTGACTGGAATTGTGCATTTTGGTTGTGAATTGAAGCACTCTTCCAGAATTGAAAATGTTCTGTGTAATAGAGCGACCAATTATTACCTTTTGAACGAATCTGTACGTGATCTATCCAGACAGGATAGAATAACATTTATTTGTGGTGATTGGTAATTTTCTTGCATCCTTTATCAACTGTCTTATTTATTGTAGTTTAGATTTGATCAATTGAACAATTATTGGTTGGATAGCTGAGTGGTTATATTTGTTTAGGTAATAATGTACACTTAAATTTATGATAAATTATAGAACCGCTATATTACCCAATTACTTTGTTTTGGTTTCAAACGGGCGAGGGCGCGTATCTAAGTCATCCAGGCAGCTGTCCAGCAGTCCAAACGTAGTTTGGATCTTACATAATTATTACAAAAAATTTACTTAATCATAATTATTTTCTAAGCGCAATAGCAGAGAATCAAAAACAGTTGGATATACAATTTAACAAAACGGAATACATGGGATATTTAGAGATTATGTTCCAAACGAAGAATTCGGGTAAAAAACGTATTGAAGAGTTCAACGATTAGGTAATTATATGCAATATTCCCTACCACATCTAATGCATACAAACAAAACTGAAAATTTACAATTTGTAGAACTCAAAGACACGTTCATTGTCGTATGTAACTGAGCTAATAAAATCACATGTGATTCACAACGATGAGTTTCGAGATAAATCAACAAACGACATATAGACGCAAATCTTTGGATAAAAGAGCCTGCTTATCCTGTAAAAGCCAGATAATTGACAGTGTAATCGCCACACCAACAGGCTAGAACCCTATCCGCTTTCAAAAACAGAGGATGTAAACTTCAATCCTTGTTCATCACCAACTTGAAATAATTAGTTCTATTTAACTACGTCTGGATCGGGTGTGATTTTCGAATATAGAAAAGTTTGTTTCATATTCTGACCTTTCAGGAATCTAGAAGAATACTATATTGGTTAATGGTTAACACAAGTCATCGGGAGTAGATCTTCAATATAATCTCCAAACGTATCATTGAATATGAAATAACATTTTATAGTGGAAGTGACCAAGAGGTGTCATTACTATCACTCGTCGAAACGATTTGTGTTTAGAAATTTTTATCACAACAAAGCTAGTACGTGTTTTTTGCATAATGCCTCATGCCTTAACCCTAAATTATGCCTACATAGTTGTAGCTTTGTACCAAGATGTTTAAATCACCTGTTAAGATATGAACAATGTGATAAATCACTATAATATTTCATTTCACCACTCAGCATTGCACAAGTTGCACACTACGCTGTAGTTAGGCTTTATAAAGTTTGACAAGAACATGTGTAGATCTATGGTCTACTATGATATTAGTACTGCTCTAATAATAGACCTAATCCTAAATTTGTAGATTTGTCATGATATAACTGCCTAATCTATAAGATCTTACGTGGAAGTCACACCATCGACTACACCAACTCACTGTATCGTATCAATTACCAATACATGATGTAGAACAAGGTTAGGCTAGAGAAAGAACAATATATTTAATATGAATAGAAGATATAAGGTAACATTCAGCAGAGACCACGCCTGCATGGCCGAGCCATGCCACTGGATCAACTCCAGTCCATTCAATTCATTCTCCGCCACTTCTCCATTGTTAGGTATTTCTCCGTGTTAAATATTGAATATCTATTTCCTGAGTAGTCTTGTGTTCAGCTTTGAAGATTGTGTGGTTATGGGCCAATGCCAATACACATGTATGCTGCCTGTCCTAATGAAGAACTACAAGACAAATAAAGAAGTAGTAGGTGATGGCTGGTAAAATATGTAGCTAGTTGTATATGGGATCACTATTATGTGAGACGTTTCAGCTAACTAGCTCCAATAAGAAAACTATCTACCCATTCGGTGTTTATTCGAACTGACAAGGTCACCACCAGTGCTAACTACCTATGAAACTATTCATTTTGAGGAGTTATTTATATCCACGGGTTTATCCATTATTCAAAGACTTTATGAAGGCTGATAGTTCATTCTTATCTTTGAGCATTATGTCCTATATTAAAATGAGAATTCTATAACTGACTAAAAACGACTGTAGATCACCAACGTAAATGATCTATGTCGGAAATGGTTGGAGGCCTACTCGAGTTAGACGTGAATGGTGTGACAAACTAGCTAACGTCGAAGTCACACCTCGTGGTCAGCACCTTACGTGGACTACCCCCATTGACGTATCAAGGCACTATAGATGCTTTGAAGACTGTACAACAGAGAGGACGTTATTACAGAAATATATTGGTTAAAGTAGATACAAGCGAAAGTGAGACCTCTGCCGCATGGCATCCGACTAACTGATGCTCGTTGGTTGTCCCTGACCTTGACGAGGATCGATGATTTGCTCGATATTCAATGACCCGACTTCCGGATGATTTGACTAGGACTTAGTGACATTTCGCTGGCCCTGCAGTATTGATGGACGGGCGAACAGTATGTTAGAGAGCAAGCAGAGGAAGAAAGATATAATGTTACTAAAGTAGCTATAAAGAGGAGTAGAACTGCTTCCCACCGAGCTGTACAGAGAACCTGTACTATATCTGACAGGGACGTTTAACCAGTAGTGACATTTAAAGCTAGCAAATTCAGCTAATTTCTTAACAGACAAATTTGCCAACACAACTAAACAAATACACGGAAATTTTTGAATATCCAACATTCAACTTATAAAGCGAACGAAATGTAGAATAAATATCTATGACAAGAGTTATCTTATTTTACTTTAGCTGATCTTTAGTTTATTGAATTTTGTACTGAAGGTTGTCCTACGTTTTGGTTTTGGCGGCTTTAGTGGTACAGAAATTTAATCAACTTCCAGCAAGGTTATTGGTGTTGATTAAACTTAAAGTCATTGTTGACTATATCGCTTTTCACCAACATCATATTCTGGTCGCGAGGTTAGTAGTTCAAGGTGTTATAGGATGCATGTTGTGATATACGTAGGTTTCTACACTATAGGGTAGCAGGTATTACAACCAGTTACAATTTTCTCTTCTAGACAGTGATTATAACGTTTATACAGTCATAACTACATATCTGGTGAGCTGTAGTAATGCCTCAGGGAGTTAGCACTCAAAGCTAACGTCCTTAGTGTTAATAGAAGTCCATCAATCAGATATTTGACTTGAGGATTTGCACCGCGTTGATTATTGATTGCAAAATATATTTATTACAATAGATTTTTTAAATGTTGGCCAAAAGAGATCCAAAATGTGTCCTTACTAAATAACGAAATATCTTAATTATGGTGAAAAAATTCAAGTCACCATTGACCCCCTATTCTAGACAATGTCTTATAAATTCGCAACTTATCAGGGTTAAAAGAAAGGTCTTTTGATTAAGTTTGTGGACGGAATTATTTGGGGTATTTATCACATGCTTTGTAGTTACTCAGCCATTCTGCCCATCTGTTTACCGAGGGTAAGTTGAATTAGTAAAACTAAGGATATTTATTCGTATACTTCGCCATTATATACGAAAGATATTCAAGTTTGAAATGCACAGAAAACTTAGCATAAATGATCATCAAAGCTAAACTGTTGATATTTTTCAAATTTATGCTTGCTGACACTATATACTAGTTATGGCCAATACAGGAATGTGGACTGTGGTTTTTTTCGGTTGCGCCATCTTAACCTGGTTTGATTTCT